CTATCTATCATCTGGCTAGCTATCTATCTATCTATCTATCTATCTATCTATCTATCTATCTGTCTGTCTATCTATCTCATTTCCTTTCATGTCAGTTCTGTTCTTTACTCGTCAATGTCTTTTTCTCCAGCAGTATGAAGGAATCTGACTCTTGGTGAATCTCAGCGGTCTGAATTTCATCAAATGACTTGCTGATTCTCTCAATCATTACGGCTCAGCGTGTACTTGTGATTTTTCAGTAAAGCACAATGACTCGGCTCATTACAGAGAATCAAACAGCCGTCGTGATTAAGCGTCCTTGCGTAACTGATGTGCATCATTAAAGAGCCACACCACTGAAAGACAAGATGTTCCCTTTCCAACACAAACTCTCTCCTGGAACAACCTTCACGCTGGAGGCCTGTCACCATTTGGAAGCGACACGAAAAAAAAAAAAAACCTCCAGATCTTATTATGCAGATGTAATCTACGGCCACAGCCATCACTGAAACACCTCAAACTCCTTGGCTTATGTAAACCCTCGGTTTACCCAGAATTCTGCACCACTTCAATGTTTCATAACGTAACATCATTCAGGTCACACAGTCCACAAGGAACAAGACAAAACAAGAAAGTGTTTTCAAGCAGACCCTGCATCAAAATGATTTTCTGTAATTACTTTCACAGCATAACAGTCATGATACAACTCGACCTAAGCAACATGTGGGCGGAGTCAAACTATGACTGAAGGCTGCATGACAGCTAATTTACAACTTATTACTTGAATAGGACTGGGTTATAAAACAGCTATGAACCATCTCAATATTTTCAGCCACTGTTCAGTATTTATCAATATTTATATAATTGCTCTGAATTAGCTCAAAATGGTGATTCTGTTCAATTAGAGTGTCCATTATTTCAGCTGAAAATTGCAAAAAATACAGTAAAACCCAAAGCACAGTTTGTCAAAAAAATGTAAAATGCAAGAACAACATTTATTTTTTTTCATTTATATGCACCAATCTAGCAATATGTCTTTAAAATACAGCAAAAATGTACTAAAGCATTTAGCGAGAAAAAATCATACTTGATGTGGAAATGCATGAAACATGCCACTTTTTTTTGAGTGGTGCCACAAATAAATCACTGAAGCGTTGCATTTGAAGCGTTTCACAGAAATGGAACTTCTAAACTCTGTTACTGACGTTTATATCAGACACTATTAAAACATCTCAGTCTTAATCTTATAATCATGATCACAAGACAAGGATCACAAAACTAGTCTAATTAATAGCTAAATAAAAGCAATTGCAAATATATTGTTAATATTGCAGTAATCAACTGTATTAAACTGTATTGGGCAGTCCTAATCTCAACTAGCAACGCATTTTATTCCACTAAAATGGAGATACTGGTCTAACAAATCTAGGTTCAAATCCACCTACAAACCAGTATTTATCCTCATCCTTCAGATGTACACAAGCTAAAGAGGGCAGAGCGAGCTGAGTGAGTGAATGGGGCGAGAAACCCACAGAGAGCAAAAATAGCAGGAGCTGAAGTGTTGGAGGATGCGTGGGAACAGAGGGAGCTTTGTACCACCAGGAGCAGATCCACAATCACACGAGTCTGCAGCGTCACACCAGTCTCAGTGACTGTTCATTTCTCTGCTTCACCCGAACTGGTCCCATCACTACACTTACAGGTTCAGTCTTACACTGCACTGCAATGTTCCTGCTGTTATACACATTTTTCTGTCATGTTTTGTGTTTTTGTTGTTATGTTGTATTGTTTAGTGAAAACCCACCGAAACAGAATTTCCCCAAGGGGATAATAAAAGGTTTTTATAGTGCTTTGTGGAGCTCAACAGAGTGAATTATAGTCATTTCTGTTGTAAGGATAGTCGTTAATATTGCGTATATATATTTATTTATTTATTTAGGTGAACTATCCCTTTAAAGACTGCATGACTCCTGAAGACCCCCAGATAAAACGCCAGAGGACTCGGCAGACAGATAACCGTGTATCTCAGTGAGTCCAGACGCATTTCCAGGACACGGTCTTTGTGCGTGTTTGTTGCGTGCAGTGTTTCTGGAAAAGGCCTCAGCGGGTTTGTCTGAGCCCGCGACACACCTCCCTTTGACATCGACACACATTCTCCACAGCCACAAAATGAACAGAGCTCTGCAGAACCGCGGAAAAGCCCAGGTCTGGAGGCGCAGCCCGCTGCGTGAGCCTGTTTGCCTTTTCAAATTCAAGTTCACATCAACACAATGCAACACGTATGCATCGCTCCAGCGCAAGATCCACACAATCCATGAACAAAGACCACCGTGAGTTAAAGCACTGGTAAACTGACATGTTACGGCTCGCGTCAAGTAACGTTTGCGCGCTCGCAGCCCATAAATTCACCAAAAACTCTTGGAGAAATGTGGGCTGGCTCTGTAATGCTTGCACCCTAAAGGGTACTTAAAAATGTACTGAATGGTACTTGTGGCTTATGTTAAGCAAGCTGATTTAATGCAGCTTTATGTTTACAAGTTTCCAGCCGCTGGAAAGGATTAGGGTCACGTCTCTTGTGTTATTTGAAACGGATATTTTCGCCACTATCAGCACTTGTGGTCTATGCATATTTACGTTTTGTTACATTATGCACAACAAATCGTGACCGTTATGGGCAACACATTGTTGCATGCATTAAAAAACATTAATGCGGTATATAGGCTAGTGTAACTTATATATATATATATATAGGCCTATATGCATGCATAAACAGGCTGTTATAAAGCGTTGGGAGATTGCACTTACCTCTTATGCAAAATAATGATGTCGGCGTGCCCAACTTCCCTAAAATAAAGAAATGAGCAAAAGTCGACACTCCTTTGTGAAATATATATGTATTTTTCACAGTTTTGACCCTGGGTGCCTCCCAGCGCTCTTGAGCTCGCACTTTCTTTCCAGCAGCGTTTGTTATTTTCTCTCCCTCTTTTCCTCTCTGTCTGTATTACCCCGTTGTTGTCCTTTCTGGAGCCACCGGGAAAAAAATCGTACAAAAAATATGGAGCCGTCAATCAAATAAGTCGACTTGAGTTATGGATGGGGGAGCGCGGAATTAATCATCGAGCTCGAGGCGCCGGTGCTGAGCTGTTTGAGGGCAGTTATGGGGCGTATGTGTTACGACAAATAATCCCTTCCCGAAACACACCAACATATCGATAATCAGACGCTAAAAGTCGACGAAAGCCCGCTCTTGTAAATCGGCTCCCCCCTGTTTTCGGCAATGGTTCGCTCCCGTTGTTGAGTCGCCGGGTGGAACAAAACGCGTTCGCATTCCAAGGTTCTGGTTACAGCTGCGCTGCAGTCTTAAGCAAGAGGTCCGTGTGATTTGGGCTGCGCCAGAAGTTATAAATACACGAATCTCCAATTTCTTGCAGAAATGCACAGGATATGCAAAATGGGGTAGACGAATGATTTGTAAAAATAATGGAAAAGTGAACGCGTCTGCCTTTCATCATGAAAGCTCGCCTCAGGCAGTGCAGTAGAGCTAATGATGGAGTATATTAGTGCACAAACACAATTATGAGACAAAATGATAAAAACAGAGACACTTTATCGAAGCCGGTTCTCAGTCAGATAAAATTTACCATAGACCAAAAGAGCAAAAGTAAGCGCAAAAAAAAATGAATGATAAAAACTGTAAAAATGCTACAGTAAAACCTGTTAAATGGTTAACGGTAAGTTCCCCTACATGGTGAAAAACTAAAAAAGAACATATAATTTACAGTGAGTAACCGTAAATTGACATTCCCTGCATTACATTTCAAATTTGATGTTTTTTTTGTTTGTTTTTTTCTTATCAGTTTTGTACATTAGGGTTGTATGTTACATCTAATGTTGTTAAATTAATGTTTATTGCATGATTTTAGTTTCATGAGCAGGCTGCATTGTCAAGGTAGCAATGCTTAACTGTGTGCGTGCATGCGGCGCCGGTGCAATCGCTTGATTTTTTTTCCTTCTAACAGTGGAAGCAACCACTCCTTTTAGTCATAAAGACAATCGGAATTGGAAAGAAAAATAGGATGCCGCTTTCTGCCGTCTGTTTCCTTTCGCGCAGCACAAAAATGAACCGAAACTCTGCATGCTAGGCTACACTGTAAAAAATGACCGTGAATTTAACGGTAAAAGACTGTAAAAATGCTACAGTAAAATCCTGTTAAATGGTTAACGGTAAATTTCCCTATTATATACGTTGAAAAACTGTATTGGACATTACATGTATTGGACATAAATTTTACGGTAGTATACCGTTTTTAGAAGTGAAAAAGACTGTATAATTTACAGTGAATAACCGTAAATTGACATTCCCAGAATTCCCTGCGTTACATTTCAAATTTGATTTTTTTTTCTTATCAGTTTTGTACATTAGGTTTGTATGTTACATCTAATGTAGTTAAATTGATGTTTATTACATTATTTAAGTTTCATGTGTTTTACCATGCTGGTGTTTAGTGTTTGTGTGCACCTTCTATATATGTTAATATTTAAAAGCTGCTTGTGATAGGCTTTGGTTCATAATCTGACTTTCATCACCACCTGCTTTTGGTGGTTATCAGTGTATTACAAAGGTACACAAGAGATTTCATTACTTCAATAGGTTGGTATATTAACATTATATCAGTTAATGAAATTACGGTATGTAATTGTAAATTTAAGTTAAAACCGGAAAACCTAAAATCTTGCTACCGTATTTTTACAGTAAAATTCTGGCAACCACAGCTGCCGTTTTTTTTTTACCGTAAATTTTATGGAAGTTGTTTTATGTGTAATAGCTATAAATGGTGATGAAGCTACGCTGAACCCAAATGCTTTGCAGCTGCCAGGTGTAATTAAAAGGCAGATTTCCTCACTCCATTCAGGCCTGTTTCACATTGCCTAAAATGCAGTGTGTATTTATTTTGGCAATCATATTGACAGGTTACAGCATTCACACTGTCTGAACCCAGTTGATTACAGGGAAAGTTACCCAAGAATAATTCCACCATCAACTTTCTTCTGCAGAACACACATATATATTTTAAAGAAAGTTAGGAGTCCAAATAACATTGGACCCTATTGATTTTCATTTCATCTTTTGTGTTCTACATAGAAAGTGGCAGATTTGGCAGCGGCATGGGATTGAGAAAGTTTATAGCAACTTTGGGGTTTGGGTTCAGTGTAGATTAATAACAATTTGGATGTAAATTCAAAGTCTGTAACAATAAACTCCCAATAACAATTTTATATTGCCATTATCAAAGGTGTCAGAAATCACTTTTTTTTTTGTGCAGATCCATAATGCCGTCCGTGAAAACTCAACAGTTAGACTCCTGCATGTTAGATGAACAATGTGGAAAATGTTTAATAGGTTAATAATATAAATCTACAACATTTCTTCTCAAATTGCACAGTTTCAGTTAGTCTTGCTATAGTCAAACCGTGGTAAACTTTGATATCATTTGCAGCCTATATAGTGGCATTGGCAAAGTCCCAAAAAAAAGCACGAAGCCACGTGTAAAGCTCAGTTCAGCGGGTTCAGTCAGAACATGTTGAGAAATATTCAGGGTCTCACAGCCCCCTTTAACTGAACTATATGGGAAGTTTCAGATCCCCGTTGCACAACGTGAAACTTTACGGAAGATAACACTTATCTGACCTCAGAATTAGTGCTGAAAAACAACATCTGCCAGCCACCATGTATCTTTTTCCTTCACGGGAGTCTGTACACTCATGCTAAACCTGATAAGACTAAAGTTGCTGTTCCAACACACTTAAACATATCAATAAGATGGACTTTTAACTTGACACGCAAAGCCAAAATGAGCATTTACACATTTCAACTCAACATGAAGCCCGTTTTATTTCCATAATGTGATTATGGAGCAGCGCATGATGGACAGGAATGTGTAAGTTAAGAGTGAAAAGAGTCAAATCAGCCTGAAATCATGCATTGAACTGGTTTTCTGAAAGCACAGCTGAAACTCTGACATGATGATTGATCAGCAAATGCCAAGGTCAGAGTGTCAGCACAGCCCAAGCTGAAATTAAAACAATCATAATAACAGTAAAACGTTCATCAATAGCACTTCAACAATACCGTTCAGGGTTGGTTTTGATTTCATGTCGGCCTCTTTCTGTTGGGACTCAAATATTATAATTAGGGCTGGGTAAAAAATATCGATATCTTGATATTAATCGATTCTCTTTTTTACGGAACAATATCGATTGTTAAATCCCAAGAATCGATTAGTTTAGCCTGTTTTCAGTTAATGGACGGAACATTGAAGGACACTTCCCATCCAATAAATCGCAATAAGCATTGTGCTTTGGTGCTTTTAATATGAAACAAAGTCCCAGGTTTCAATTTATGTCCATTGTATTGCAGTATTCAAACAATAAATGCCGTTTTGGCGCTGTTTAATGTGGAGTGAGATCGCTGTAGCGCCTCAGCAGCGCGAGGCGCACGTGAACTGATCATCTCCTCCGCTTTAATACTAGTTATAGCACAAAATAAACATGACTAAACATCTGAAGGTAAGTTAAAAGAAAGAGTACAACTTTACAATCTGTATCCTGTCTCAAATAATCGCTCAATCAGTGTTTCAGCCGTGCAAAGACGTCAATATAAAGACTTGTAAACGATGTCACGTAACGT